GTTTACACCAAAAATAATACAGAGCTAAACAGTTAAGCTTAAATCTTTGTATGTTGCTCTGCTTTCCTTCATGACATCTCTGGTTCCTCTCTAGCCATACTGTCCACCATATACATGATGGGACCATCTTCCATCTCTCCTCCTTTCTTCCTGCATTTCCATCTCTATTCCAGCACTTCAAAACCTCTTTGATCCTTCCTGGTTTCACCCATTTAATCTCTCTCATATTGGTGAACATTTGCCACAGCTGGGTTGTCCACTTGCAGTGTAAGAAGAGATGGTTGACTGTCTCTCCTTGCTCTTCACACAAAAAGCACCTGGAACACAGGTGAATGCCTCTTTTGTTCAGGTTCTCATGTGTCAAAACTGTCTCCTTAGCTAACAGCCAAGTAAAACAATTTACTCTATAGGGTATCTTGGTTTTCCATATCATCTTCCAAGGCCATTCTACTTCCTCAATGCCAACTGTGTTGAGATCTTCATATGCTGAATTTACTGTGAAACACCCTTTGCTCCCCACATTCCACACCAGTGAGTCCTCTTCCTCGGACAGGTTACTAAATTGTGCTAGGGTAACCAAAAACTCAGTTATTCTGCACATCTCCCAATCAATTAAATTCCTCCTGAAGTGCAAATTCCAGCCCTGATCATTCCATAATTCGGCTAGAGTTGCTTGTTGCATTTGACATAGGTCGTAGAGGTCAGGAAACCTTTGGCTTAGTGGGACCTGACCACACCATTTAAATCATTAAACTTTATTTTATAACATCATGAAGCAAAAAGAAATTTTAAGAAAGGTTTACTTTGGGGAGTGAAGTCCTACTAATATCGAGAAGATGTGCAAAAAGATGGGGTGGATATTTAGACAGTATTCATATTTTAATTGTGTTTCTTTTGTTGTACTTAATTTTGTGACTCGGGTTTGTGTATTACCATGTAACAGAGCTAACAAACCCCAGCACTGTTGAAGAGCCTTCCGAAAATTCTGAATTCAAAGGTAAGACCTTTAGAGTCTTTTAGCTTAGTACTTGAAGAATTGCAAGTTAGTTCTCAGTTTTAAAATAAGTTTCAATCTAGATGAAAACTTAGCCAATTGTTGGAGTGGATATTTAGATGCTATTCATCTTGATTATTAGTCATATTTAAGTTCTTATGGAATTGTCTAAAATTAACAGTGCAAGGCTTTTCCCCATGCAGAAGCTGCTCCTCACAACCCTATTGGTCAATCTCATTTTGAATGCTTTGTTAGACCATATTGCATTTCAAAGGGTTACTTGGTAAGTCTCACAACTCATTTCCCTTTAACCCTTCAAGAATGTCCAGGCTAAAGGACACATTTGCACCATTTTCTCTTTTCCTCCTTTTTTTTTGTTGGAGTTATTTACAGCAAAAGTATGAAGCATATCATATGTTTGAGTGCAAAATATAAACCATTTCAGCGCCTTCCTAAACAATTTGCCATAGCAAATGGTCTCATCAACAAGAAATGTGGTCTGATTATCAGAGATGAAAGAGAAATATCATGGAATTTAAGGCTATATACCCACAATTCTATAGTCCATATATTGGGTGGATGGAGTGAATTCTGCGTTGCAAATGAATTAAAGGAGGGAGATTATATGATGTTTGAGGTGGTTGTGAATGGAGAAAAACCAATATGGAAATTTCACGGTAAGTTTCTCATTTAAGCCAATGATTTACATATCTACCTTTCTACCTTTTGTCAAGGATCTTTTTACTTTGTTATATACATCATGTCACCATGGCCAGACACACCTTGCCTAGATGACACTACTTCGCTGAAAACTTTACTGAATTTATATATGATAAAATAATAACTCTTGAGCTGAGGGTTTATCGAAAACAACCTCTCTACCCCACAAAAGGTAAGAGTAAGGTTTCCGTATACCCCACCTTCCCCAAAGCTCACTTGTGGGATCACATTGGGCATGTTGTTGTTGTTGAAATAATATGCGAAAGCTGCTACTCACAAACCGCTTGGTCAATTTCAGTTTTAATGCATTGTTAGACCGTATTGCTTTTCAAATGGTTTCTTGGTAAGTCTCAAACTCAGTCTCCCTAAACCAATCAAGAATTCAGACTAAATGAAACATTGCACCATTTTCTTTTCCCTCTCTTTGTTTATTCGAGTTATTTATGGTGAAAATATGAAGCAAATGAAATGTTTGATGATATGTGCAAATGTTACAAAGCCATTTCAGCACCTTCCTGTACAATGTGCACGGGCAAATGATCTCACCAACAAAAAATGTGGTCTGATTATTAGAGATAGAAGAAAAAGGCAATTTAAGGCCGACTACCTTAAAGTTCTCAAGTCTATATTGGAGGTAGATTGCATGAATTCTGTGTTGCAAATGACTTTAAGGTGGGAGATCATATAATGTTTGAGGTTGTTACTAAGGGAGAAAAAACCAATATGGAAATTTCTTGGTAAACCCTCTCATTTGTGCGACCTCAACGATCTGTTTACTTTGTAATCTACACCATGAAATTTGTTTGTGTTTGGTTGTTCAAAAATGTGTTGCACATAATTTATGAACAACTAAATTTTCAAAAATTTACCAGACAGTTGGAAAATGTTTTATGCAACGATCTTTGTGAAATGTTCCTATGTGTGGAATATATTCTGCCTAATTTATACACACTATTCCGCCATTAAATAGTGTATTTAAAGTGTCGTTTAATGTTGTCCTTTCTTTTATAGTTTTGTTTTTAGAAGCTGATGTTTCTTGTTATAAGAATTGTGCTTCATCTTTCATAGGTTATAATTCATCGTAAACCTTGCAGTTTGCTCTAGATATTGATTGTTCTAAAGACCCTGTCCCAGGTTCTATGAGGATAAATTTTCATATGTTGTACTTCATAAAGTTCAGAAAATTATTACGCTTTAAAACGATATTAAAGAATATATCTATACAAGTTCTTTTTCTTGAAAAGAGAAACAGCTATTCGAAAAATAGTAGGCCTTTTTTTCCGAATGTTTGTGTTTGAGTCAATTAAGATGGTCTTCTATCACTTCTTCCTCAACCTTCCTTGGCAGTATTTTTTATTTGGTAATTATACAAACATGTTGCTTAAAGAACTAGGGTTGAATAATCATATGTAAGAGCACTTTTACAACTCTACCTAAGTATATTATTCTTCTCTAATTTGCTTAGCCCCATATTTTCTTCGTTTCTTCCTTTGTTGAGAGAGGGTGGTGACTTTAAGTATGTTGTATTAATGTGTGCATTGATAGCATAACACAGTTAATACAAGTATACTAATTCTTTTTGCATTTCTAGACTAGTCAAATTAAAATATAAATCATTAAGCTTTATTTCCATAACATTGTTCTTGTTTCCTTAGTAATATTTGGAAGCCATAAGAAAGGTTTACTTTGGAGATTGAGCCCTACTGGTTTTGAAAAATATCCAATAGATGGGGTAGACGTTTGGAAATTATTCGTTCTTTTAATTGTAATCTCTGTCATACTTGATGTCTTGACATGAGTTTTTGTATACAATTATCTTGTAACAGACAAACCAACTCCCAGCATCATGTCATCAAGAAAGGCGTTTCCCCATGTAGAAGCTGCTAGTGACAAGCCTTCTGACCATTCTCGTTTTGTATGCACTATTAAACCATATTGCCTTACATATGGTTATTTGGTAAGCTTAAAACCCCATTTCATGCAAATCTTTCAAGAATGTTCAGGCTAATGTGATCATGCGTATCATTTTATTCTTTTCTCTTTCTTTTGGAGTTAATTTTGGTGAAAATATGAACCTAAGAACTGTTCTACTGATGAGTGCAAATGGTGATATCCCTTTCAGTGCCTTCCAAAACAATTTGCACTCAGAAATGGTCTCATCAGGAAGAAATGCGATGTGATTATTACAGATGAACGGCAAAGGTCGTGGAATTTAATTTTACGTCCTTTTGGTACTAGTGTGTGTATTAGAGGTGGATGGGATAAATTCCACGAGGCATATTGCTTAAAGGAGGGAGATCGCATAATGTTTGAGGTGGTTACAGATGGAGAGAAACCACTATGGAAATTTCATGGTAAGTTTTCTCATTTGAGAAGCATCTTTTATTTTTTTGATCATCTTATATATGCACACACTTTGACTATATTTGGCATGAATCTTGGATAATGCAATTTTTACTTAAATGTTAAAAATCACCCTGGGTTGAAATCTTTCTATCCCATACTAATGTGTTCGGTTTCATTGAGGATAAATCTTTTCATGTCTTAGGAGGTTCTTACAAGGTAAAAAGGGCATCCCGATGCACAAAACATCCCACATTAGCAGGGGTCCGGTGAAGGGGTAGACCCCAAGGGGTGTGATGTAGACAATCTACCCCAATGCAAGCATTAATGATTGTTTCCACTGCTCGAACAATGTAGTGAATATTTTAAACACTTTAATAGCTTCTTTGCATAGATTTGATTATTAACATGAAAAAATGTACTTTTTACAGGCAAAATTTCTTGGGAGAATGTAAGCGTCATTGAAGAATGAAGCAGTTGGTGATGGAAAAGAAAAAGCAACACTGAAGCAATTAAACAAAATGTATCTCTCTTTGGTTGATTCAATTATATGGTGTACAACCTCAACAAAGCATGTTATTTTTTCTCCGGAACTTCGTTGAATCGCTATACCCTTGCCTAGCGGTCAATGAAGTGGGTGAAATTTGGAGACTAGAGTTTAAATCTCGACAGAGACAACAAACAAAAAATGATAGGTGGTTTCTTCCTATCTGTCTAAACCTTGTCGGGTAGAGTTACTAGTATAGGATGTAAGCTATCGATCAAGAATGCCACTAAAATAATGTCAAATATCTCTAACATGATTTAACAAATTTCTATGGTGTCATGCTAATTTTGTAAAAATAGTTCTAATCTTGATTGGTGTTGAAATACCCTATCTCTAGCATGATTTAACAAATTAAATTTTCTGTGGAAGATTTTATGTTAATACAAGTGTTTATAACATATAATTTGTATAAAAAACTTATCTTGATTGGTGTTGAAATACCCTGAGGTCAAATAACCAAAAAAATGCTCCCAAATCGACACTTAGGACAATTGTGCACTATTTTGATGGAGTTGCTAGATATTACTCCCTCCGTCTTAATTTTATATCCAGCATAAATATTATAAAAAATTTACGTTTTGGAATGTCTCACAAATAGAGATATTGGTCATTGTTGAACAAAAAAAAGCTTGAAATTATTGACAAGAACTAGGGAGAAAAAAAGGTGTAAAGTTTGTTTCATCTCGCAAAAAAATGGAAGGATTTTGATTATTTAATATTTTTTTACCAGATTGTGATGCGTTAGAATATTACAAGGTTGATGCAAGCGTTGATTTCCTTCTTAATTTATGACTTTCAGTTGCATTTGTTAATTAGTTAGATATAATGATATGTATCTTATTACTATGTATCTCGAATACAAGTATTTGTATGTGATAAATACATGTATCCGAAGTAAAAAATATGATACGATCCATAGTTGTGCAAATTGAAGGGAAATAAACTAAACTAGTAAAATTTATGTTATTTACCCATAAAAAAATCAGCCCCAATGAAAATAATGCCTAGGAGGAAAAATGAAACTAATATGTTATAACTCACACAAAATTATATAATTTTTACTACATTAAACTTTAAATAGATTAAGTTGGATAGGCTTCATAGTTACATAATTACTTAATTCTCTCAGGAAGGTGTAAAAAATACCCAAAATGTTCGGTCATTAATTCGCATTATAATACATAACGTATATATGTAGATATATGATGTATAACTATGTATTAGTAGGGATAGGATGTAATTTAAATCTTAGACTATGTGATTTCTTTAATTTTTACTATAAATAATATATAATTATGTATATAGAATGTATAAATAATATATCCACATTATTATACACAAAATCAAATGAAGATGGAAAAAATGGTCATTAATTCTAAAAATTCATCAGAACAAATATTTAAGAAATCAAATTTTAAGTGCGGGAGAGAGAAAAATAAAAGTGGAGACCAAGTTTTTGGCTAATTTAATTAGTTAAATAACTGAATTTACATTTTCGATAATTTAATAACATTATACTTAATTGCAAGTGCATGTCGATAATGAGCTATGTGCTTCTAGCTACTTATTAATAGTAGTAAAGTAAAGTAAATAAAATACTCCATTTAGGGTGTGATTGGTTCATAACTTTTTCATGTATAGTTGATTTAAAATATTATTTTTGTCTTATCTTCAAAAAAAACAAAAACAATAACAACAATTTCCGTGACAATAAGAGGAAAATCATTTTTCAAAACTCTCCCACGCTATTTCCATGTAAATAAGTTTTTAAATATCTATACTATGATTTAATGAATCTAGTTATTATAAATATTTTACATTTTGCACCCTTAATATATATTCTTTTATGTAATTTACCCCTTTTATTTTTTATTTTTATGATATGCACCCCCTTTAAGTGTTTTTTCACCTATAAATAGGGCATTCATTTCCCTAGGAAATATCACCTTCTTTCTCTACATTTCTTAATACATGTTCTATTATTTCAGTCTCAAGATTAACATTTCATGACCACCATGAAAGGCTCTTCAGAGAAGCCAAGCTTTTTTCATCCCATCAGGTCAAGTTTCAAGCAAGGAATTGTAAGTAAAGCTTTAAAATATTTTATCTTCACTTTGTTTATGATATATACATGCTAGTTTAGGGTTGTTGGGGGTAGGGTTTGAACACTCATTCTTGGGATGGAATTTTGTGATCCTTTGATTGTTAGATATGATTTTAGTTCTCTTTACTTGTAGTAAATCTAACAACAATTCTTCTAAATTTGAATTTTAATCTTGAGTTGTTTCTTTTCTTTTTATAGAGTATTTTTCTTCCACATATAATAGCTAGTCTTCTACCATTAATTTTAGGGGATTTATACTATCTATTTCTTGATTTATGACTAATTTATTTTTATTAAAATTAAGACCTACGTTTGAATCTAAATGCACATCAGAGAATAATTAAAATGATGTTATTTTCTAAACTTGAAAACGGAATGAATAAGACTAATTGTTTTTCAGTATCTGATGTGCATTTATTTATTTGTAAGCATAATAAATACACAATTTAAATGAAAAACAATTGAATATTAGAAAATATAAATTTAAGAAAATAAAATCATTATTTGATTAAAAATGAACATTTATGTTTCTTAGCGATGATGGGGATAGTTATTTGTGACAGTGATAATAGTTGGTGTCAGTGACTATTAATAGTGGTGGAGATGATAGTTATGATTGTGGGAAAATTTATGTTTCCTAGCGATGATAGAGATAGTTTTTTGTGATAGTGGTAATAGTTGGTGTTAGTGACTATTAATAGTGCTAGAGATGATAGTTATAATTGTGGAGGTGATTGGTGTTGTATTGACTGACGTGATGTTAGCAGTTGGTAGTGATGATTGTGGTTGTAGAAGAGAAGTTTGTTGATGTTAGCAGTTGGTGGTGGCTGAAGAATATGTGATGGTTGTGTTGGTAATAGTTGGAGGCAATGCTAGTTGTGATAATTGAAGTGATTGATAGTAGCGATTTCCACACTAGTGATGGTGACTTATATTGGTGGTGGAGGTGGAAGAGGCAATGAATATTTTTATAATAATGGGGATAGTCGGAGTGGTAGCTATTGATCTAGTAATGGTTGACAGGGATGGTAGTTGCAAACTTGCCGCTATTGGTGGTTGTAATGATAGAGATGATTGGTGGTGGCGACTGGTGGTTGGCAACGACAATAGTGGTAGTGATCGATGATAGTGGAAGGGGTAATAAAAATTATTTACACAAAAAGGCATCTAAATGGTATCAGGCCTCATTTGTTTTCATTAAGATTACCACATTTGAATCTCAATGCACACATCTAAATATTAAATAGTTAAAGATTGATTGTTTTCGAATATATAAAATTTGTCTTTGTTTAAAAAAAAATATAAAATTTAAATAAATTATAAAATTAATATAATATTATATCAATAAAATATTTTTAAATTCTATATAGCAATTGGTGCTGGTGGTGACTAATAGTGGTGGTTATGGATAATATCTATATGATATAATAGTTGACAGTAATAATTAACTGTGATTGTTATAGTAAAATTATATTGATAGCTAATGATATGATGATTAATGATGGTGGTTAGCAATATATAAACACCTAACATCTTCATAATCATATCATACAATATTTACTTTCTTATATTTGTATAACCAAATTTAGATTTTTAAGACAAAGTTAATAACAATAACATATTTGGGTATTAATAGTCAAATTATAGATTGTCAAAACAAAGAAATAAGTGTAATTTAATATTTTTTTTAAAGGGTGTGTCAATTGTGACGGTACGAGTAAAAGGAAAAGGATTAAGGAGGTAGTAATTTAAAATCTATAAAAACTTTTGAAATATGTGATATTAAAAATGTTATAACAATTCCATCAATAACTTTCTAACTTCCTTAGCAATTATTGTTACCCTGCAGAGTCTTCCTAATGAACTTTTGAAGCATCTGAAGGGACATGATCAGTATGAACATGCAATACTGAGATGGGCCGGTAAGTAATAACGAAGTCAGAAATTTTATAAAGAATATTTATATATATATTTTACTATCTATTTTACTTGTCCATTTTTATCTTTATACTTCATTTAAGAAATTTCTTATTAGGGGATCTATTTTTATGGTTAAACTACCATAAGGTAGTGAATGTTGTAATTCAATAGCATTTTTTTTACAATTAATGATTAAGTTGATACTATTAAAATAAAATAATAAATCTATCTTGATTTATTAAAATGAACAAGTAAAAAGAAAAAATAAGTTTTACAATAGTGAGTAAGTAAAAGGAAACTGAGGAAGTATGTAAGAATAACAATTAATTTTATCTATGTATAATTTTTCTTATAACTAACTATCCTCCCCTCTATATGATTACGTAATTGTAGATAAAGAGTGGCTGGTGAAATTGAACGGTGTGAGACTAGAAGACGGTCTTGAAAATTTTGCAGAGCAAAATAATTTGGAGGAGGGAGATGTCTTGGTGTTCAAACATGAAGGAGATATGAAATTTGAAGTTCTCAAGTTTGATTTATCTAATCAATGTGAGATAGAAGAACAACAAAAAGCACAAAAAATTGAGAAGACTTCTGAGAGATCTAAATCCAAAGGTAAAAGTTCTATAAGATAACGTGAAAAATGATATTTGAAAAAAGAAGAAGAAGTTAAACGAGAGTATTTGAAACTTGAAATAGTTTTTAAAAACCTAAAAAAAAAAAGGTAGAAATTTTGTGATTGGAAAAAATATCGATCAATTTTTCAAACTTGAAACTCATTTTTTTAAAACAAAGCTCATATTTTTTGTTTAATAAGGAACGAAAATTTAGTTGTCATTCATACTTTAAAAGGTTTTATATTACAGAACGTAAAAGATAAATGTCGACAATATAAAAACACTTATTATCTTACATAATTAAGGAATTTTATATCTTGTCATTTATCATATATAGTTTGTTAATTATTTATTGCTTAAATAGAGTCCCATGCAATAATATTCCAAGCTTTTATATCATCATTAGATAATTACATGTAAATCTTTTGAAAAACACTACTCATTAGTAATATGATTAATCTTAAAATTTAACCTAATATTACTTGTTAAAATTCACTAATAATTTTTAAAAATCTCTATACTAATATTACTTAAATTTTACCATGCAGGAGCTGCTACGCACAAGCATTTAGATCATTCCCGTTTTGTATGTACTATTAGACCATATTGTTTTAAATATGGTTACTTGGTAAGACCAATTTTATTTTATTTTTAAATTTACATACTTTAATTGTGTTACAAAAGTATTGTACTATCAATATATTATTGAATTAATATGGTTATAAATTGTTTCAGTGTCTTCCTATAGCATTTGTATTGAACAACAATCTCCGGGACAAGATAGGCAATTTGATTATTAGAGATGAAAAACAGAGATCGTGGAATTTAAGACTAAATTCTTTTAGTCCGAAACGATTCGTTCTTAATGGTGGATGGGCTGAATTTAGTGTTGCAAATGATATAAAGGAGGGAGATGAAGTAATGTTTGAGATTGTTACTAATGAAGAGAAACCAATATGGCAATATCAGAGTAAGTTTTCTCATTTAAGTAATTACCTTATTTTTCCAACAATTTTTATTAATTGCAATAGTAGAATATTGTCACATCAATTAAGTAACTGAACAAATCATCTCAATATAGTGAGTGATTTTAACTTTTAATCATATATAAGAAAAATCAAACCATAACATCACGTCATCTCCCTTTGCAGAAAAACCTAAATCCAAGTCGGAAGAACTTTCTCAAAGACAGAATCAAGATCAAACTTTAGAAGTTGGTACTGCCAAGCTTTTAGGTAATTCACATGTTGTATTTATTGTGATATTTTTAATAATAGACTATTGGCACGTCAGTTAAGTTATAGAAATATTATCTAAATATTATGTGTGATTTTAACTTTTAATCGTGTTACAGAAAAATCAAACAACATCAAGTCACCTCCCCTTGCAGAGCCCCCTAAAGTCAAGTCGGTGGAACTTTCTCAAAGACAAGATGTTGAAGATCTGACGTTAGAAGTTGGTACTGACAAGCTTTTTGGTAATTCACATTTTATATTAATTGTGATTTTTTTTAATTATAGACTACTGACACGTCAGTTAAGTTATAGAAATATTATCTAAATATTATGTATGATTTTAACTTTTAATTGTGTTACAGAAAAATCAAACATCAAGTCATCTCCCCTTGCAGAGCCCCCTAAAGTCAAGTCGGTGGAACTTTCTCAAAGACAAGATTTTGAAGATCTGACGTTAGAAGTTGGTACTGACAAGCTTTTTGGTAATTCTCATTTTATATTCAGTGTGGTTTTTTTAATAATATACTATTCGCACATCAGTTAAGTGATAGAAATATTATATAAATATTATGAGTGATTTTAATTTTAATCGTGTTACAGAAAAATCAAACCACAACATCAAGTCATCTCTCCTTGCAGAGCCCCCAAAAGTCAAGTCAGGGGAACTTTCTCAAAGACAAGATTTTGAAGATCTGACGTTAGAAGTTGGTACCAACAAGCTTTTTGGTAATTCAAATAACAACATCGAATCATCTCCCCTTGCGAAGCCCCCAAAATCCACGTCGAGGGAACTTCCTCAAAGACAGGAGTTTGAAGATCAAACGTTAGAAGTTGTTACTCACAAGTCTTTTGGTAATTCTCATCTTATATTCAATATGATTTTAGAAACAATAAAATGTTGTCATATCAGTTAAATGATTAAACATAGCATTTGCATGTAGTAAGTAAATTTAACTTTTAACCATGTAACAGACAAATCAAACAACAACATCAAATCATCTCCCCTTGCAAAGCCTAAATCCATGTCAGGGAAGCTTCCTCAAAGACAGGAGTTTGAAGACCGAACAGTAGAAGTTGTTACTCTCAAGCCTTTTGGTAATTCTCATTTTATATTCAGTGTGATTTTTGCAATAATACTATATTGTCATGTTTGGTAAGTGATTGAACATATCATTTGAATGTAGTTAGTGATTTTAATTGTTAACCATGTAACAGACAAATCAAATAACAACATCAAGTCATCTCCCCTTGCGAAGCCCCCTAAATCCAAGTCGGGGGAACTTCCTCAAAGACAGGAGTTTGAACTTCAGACGTTAGAAGTTGTTACTCACAAGTCTTTTGGTAATTCTCATCTTATATTCAATATGATTTTAGAAACAATAAAATATTGTCATATCAGTTAAATGATTAAACATAGCATTTGCATGTAGCAAGTAAATTTAACTTTTAACCATGCAACAGACAAATCAAACAACAACATCAAGTCATCTCCCATTGCAAAGCCTAAATTCAAGTCAGGAAAGCTTCCTCAAAGACAGGAGTTTGAAGACCGAATAGTAGAAGTTATTACTCTCAAGCCTTTTGGTAATTCTCATTTTATATTTATGTGCTCTTTGCAATAATACAATATTGTCACGTTTGTTAAGTGATTGAACATATCATTTGAATGTAGTGAGTGATTTTAACTTTTAACCATGTAACAGACAAATCAAACCACAACATCAAGCTATCTCCCCTTGCTAATCCCCCTAAATCTAATTCGAGGAAACGTGCTCAAAGAGATGATTTTGAAGATCGCCCGTTAGAAGTTGTTACTCACGAGTCTTTTGGTAAATTTTATTTTGTATTTAGTTTGATTTTAGCAACAATATAATATACTGTCACGTTAGTTAAGTGATTGTACATATCATTTGAATGTAGTGAGTAATTTTAACTTTAATCATGTAACAGACAAATCAAACCACAAAAAAATCAAGTCATCTTCCCTTGCAGAGCCCTCTAAATCCAAATCGGTGGGACTTCATCAAAGACAAGAATTTGAAGAACGAACACTAGAAGTTGCTACTCACAAGTCTTTTGGTAATTTTCATTTTGTATTTAGTTTGATTATAACAACAGAATATTGTCACGTCAGTTAAGTGATAGAAAATATTATCTAAATATTGTGAGTTATATTAACTTTTAATCATGTAACAGATAAACCAAACCACAAAAAAATCAAGTCATCGCCCCTTGCAGAGCCCTCTCAATCCAAGTCGAGAGGACTTCCTCAAAAACAGAATTTTGAAGATCAGACGATAGAAGTTGTTACTCACAAGCCTCTTGGTAATTCTCATTTCATATTCATTGTGATATTTACAACAACAATAATAGTGTCACGTCAGTTAAGTGATAGAAAATATTATCTATATATTATGATTAATTTTAATTTTTAACCATGTAACAGACAAACCAAACTACTCCATCACTTCATCAAAAAAGGCATCTCCCCTTGAAGTAGTTCCTCACAAATCTCATGGTCATTCTTATTTTGTAACCATAGTTAGTCCCTATTGCCTCGTAAGCGATACCTTGGTAAGTCCAAAAAAAAAAAAAAACTTCAATTTTTTTGGGGTCAAAATATAAAGTATATACACGGTTTAATTTTGATTATTCATAAATTATTTCAGTTAATTCCTGAAGAATTTGCATTGGCAAATGGTCTATTCAACATCAAGAAGTGCGATTTGATTATCAGAGATGAAAACGAGAGGTTGTGGAATGTTACATTACGTACACATAATACTTATGTTATTATTAAAGATGGATGGAAAAAAATTCGCGATGCACATTGCTTAAAGGAGGGAGATCACATAATGTTTGAGGTTGTTACTGGTGGAAATAAACCAATATGGAAATTTCATGGTAAGTTTTCTTATGACCAAATTTTTTGTATTTATGTTGTTGATTTTTTCTTACAAATAATGTTACAAATATTATTTGTACACTAATTTTTTATTTTTTATTTTTTTGCAGGCAAAATTTCAGAAGAACTTGCAAGTATCATTCAACAGGATAGACTGAACAATGAATGAAGTTGTTTATGATGGAAAAGAAAAAACAACAATGAAGCAATTGAACACCCCCACCCCTCTCTTAGATCTCGCAATTATTATATTTTGTGTTCGCCTATGACTATATACTATTTTAGTTTCTTGGAATAATTCGATGAATTTAGTAAATTATGTGCAGACAATGAATAGACATTATAATGCACCATCAAGTAATATTAATCTGTTATAAGCAGGTTACCAACTTATTTCTAATTATATATATTTTTCACTCTTCTCTTTCCTCTTCAAATACTAGACATATATTGCCTATGCGCGCACGGGCCCACTATATATTAGTTGATAACTATCACAAATATTGATAGGTTGATAATTAGTAAAAGATTGGCAATATATACACATATTCTACTATATTTTTCTACTATATTATAAAAGAGAGTTTAGGG